TCATGTAATTTATTGAATGCTGTATTGAAAGTGAAAAATGGAATGGTTGTATGGGTACTTGAAGCACAGTTTCTAATGAATGCACATCATTTTCCCATCATCACAAAGCTAAATCATCTTAAGTCAGTGACCATGTGTGCAGAAAAAGGACAAAGATACCAGGTGCCAAAAATGAGAAACCAAGGCCCCAGGGAAGCAGAGAAGCAGCCAGCTTTTTGCTAACATCCGGGCCCATACAGAGCCTCCTCTCAGCCTCCTCCAGCAGTTGCTCCAATCTCATCCTCCTTCAAATGCTTTTTGCTGTCTGCCCCTCTTAACTCTTTTCTTGCCCCCTTTTTCCTCTCCCCACCATTCTCTAATTTGTCCTTTCCCTTCTTTCTTCTTCTTGCTCCTTTCCTTGCTTCTTAATGGTCTATGACACTGAAACTGAAGCGTATTTGAAACATGGTTAGTGGTGTTACATGAAGTTTCATCTTTCCTGCTTTTTATTTTTAAATGATTTATGCTTAACTTTTTATGTGCCTTGACAATAAAATCTACATTTAGTTGCTTTCTAACTTTTGTGAACCCTTTAATTAATCTCACTTATGCATCAATAGCCCTAAATGGGGGTGGGAGTGGGCGTGGGTGTGGGTTACTTCATCCATGCTCTGGGTACTTAATCTGTGTGGCTCATAGATCAAAATCAATGCATTTAACTGCAACCAGAGGAACTCAGATTTAAAGTGAAGAAGAATTTCCTTACATTTAGACCATTGCAGTAGCCTCCTACCCATCCTCTTCCGCCAGTCTTTCTTCATTCAATCTACCCTTCTGAAGTATTAACACCATCATTTCTTGCTCCAAAACCATCAGTGGCTCCCCACTGTCCAAAGAACAGAGTGCAAATCCCTTCACCTGGCATTCAATGTCCTCTATCAACCTACTAAGAAGTTCCAAACTAAAAACGGCTTTCAGGCCAGGCGCGGTGGCTCACGCCTGTAATCCTAGCTCTCTGGGAGGCCGAGACCGGTGGATCTTTTGAGCTCAGGAGTTCAAAACCAGCCTGAGCAAGAGCGAGACCCTGTCTCTACTATAAATAGAAAGAAATTAATTGGCCAACTATAGTTATATAGAAAAATAGCCGGCATGGTGGGCATGCTGTAGTCCCAGCTTACTCGGGAAGGCTGAGGCAGCAGGATTGCTTGAGCCCAGTGAGATGAGGTTGCTGGGGAAGTAGGCTTACGCACGGCAGCTCACTCTAGCCTGGGCAACAAAGAAGAAGACTCTGTCTCAAAATAAATAAATAAATAAAATAAAAATAAAAACGGCTTTCAGGAAGGGAAATTGTGAGGAGATGCACTTTTTTCCTAGAAGTGTTCATATACAGGCCAGGTTACCCCTGGAAGCATTCATATACAGGCCAGGCCAGTATTATATACAGCATAAGAGATGCTAAAAAGTAGTAGCTGATCTGCATGGAAGCCTCTTTCCCTCCTCAATGAACTATGCCTCTTAGTATTTATACCCTTGTGTAGTCCTCTCGTTGAGTCTGAACTGGTCCTGTGACCAAGAGAATAGAGGAATGATACTGTGTGACTTCCCAGGGTAGATCAAGAGAAACCTTTCCAATTCTGTTGGCACCTCTCAATATCATTCACTTTCAGGATGCTTCTGCTCAGAACCCAGCTGTCATGCTGTGAAAAGCCCAAGGCGCATGGAAAGGCCACTTGTAGGCCGGGCGCAGTGGCTCACGCCTGTAATCCTAGCACCTCTGGGAGGCCAAGGCGGGCGGATGCTCGATGGTCAGGAGTCAAAACCAGCCCTGCAGCAAGGACCCTGTCTCTACTATATAGAAAGAATTAATTGGCCATAACAATCATATATAGAAAAGAATTAGCGGCATGGTGGGCATGCCCTGGTCTCCAGCTACTCGGATGGCTGGAGTGCATTATGGAGCTCCTTGAGGTCTCTTATTTGTTTGTGTGTTTCTGTGATGTTATGGCTGTACGTTGCACGTGGCCCTCTGGTCCTCTTTAGCTTGGGCGAGACAAGCTACGACTCTGTCTCAATAAAAGAAGAAATCATTCCATTGTTGAGGTGGTTGATGGATATAGTAGTTCAAAGGATTGAGTAGGTATGCACGATTAGGTCTGCTTTGAAGTTAAGATCGGTGTCGTCGTGTAACATATTTCTCCTACTTTTCTCAATCTCACGGAATCTGTGGACGATATCCAGATTTTTTCTTTCATGTCTTCAATACATAAACTTAAATACATGTTGCAATTAAGATTTGTAGCTTAGAAAATATCAGATATAGGATTCAGTCTATCGATTAATCAAACACTTTATGGCAATAAAATTATAATCTAAGGGGTCACTCCCCTCAATTCTTTTTGTTTTCAAAATAGTCTTTCTGAATTAACTAGTGTCCATTGTATAACATAGCTTTAACAGTTAAAGCTTCTTTTGTTTGGTGCTATTTCTTGTTTTTTTTTTTTTATTGGGAGTATTGATTTGTGAAGGTGGTGAGTTGATAATGTGCGATTATTCAATTGAATTAAATTTTAAAGTTAGTATTTTTTAAAATTCCTCAGTTTTAATTATCTTATATGGTACTGAGTCCTATCCCTCCATGAAAGGTGGCCCAGCAGGGTGTGCTGTATTAGCATCTCTGTGAGTGTGCCGGAGGCAAAGGTGATTGCTCAGAAGTTGTCAGGGAGGTCTCGGAGAACCAGCTCTGAGCAAGAGGATGAGAGCCCGTCTTTTGTTACTATTAAGATAGCGAAAATGGATAAGATTCATGGCCATATGAGCTATAATATAGAAAAATTAGCCGGGCATTTTGCGTTGGGTCATCATTGCCTGTAGTCCCAAATAGCTACTCTGGAGGCTGAGTCAGGTGATTGCTTTGAGTGCCCAGGAGTTTGAGGTGTGTGTGTAGCGGTAGGGCTGATGCCGAGCGGCCACTTCACTCTAGGCCTGGGGGAACTATAGTAGAGACTCTGCTTTCAAAAATAATTATAAATAAAAAGGTGTGGGGTCTGAGGCCAAAAGTTTGAAAATTACTGTTTTTACAATATTCTAAAGTTGATTTCAAAGTAAACTATCTTTTTTTCAAGGCCCAATCTAAGACCCAGTTTCTTCAGGGACAAAGCCAGCCCTCAGTGATGACTTCTTCTCAACGTGCATCCTTGTATAGCATCATGTTCTCACTACCCACCAGTTCTCTAAAGTTTGAAAAATCTTAGCTAGGCCCAGTGGCTCATACCTGTAAGCCCAGCACTTTGGGAGGCTGAGGCAGGAGGATCATTAGAGGCCAGGAGTTCAAGACAAGCCTGGGAAACATAGTGAGACTCTTGTCTCTACAAAACATTTCTTAAAAAATTAGCCAGGCATGGTGGTGCACACCTGTAATCCCATATACTTGGGAGGCTAAGACAGGAGGATTGTTTTGGTCTAGGAGTTGGAGGCTGCAGTAAGCTATGATCAAGCCACTGCACTCCAGCCTGGGCAATAGAGCAAGACACACACACACACACACACACACACAGGTTAAAAAAAAAAAGAAAAAATCTTTTTTGTGCATATGTCTTCTCCCTTGAGCTAGGTTCCCCACCCCTAGAGGGAATAAGGACAGACAAGGACCATGTCTGAAACACCTGTCACAGTACCTGGTCCACAGAAGTGCCTTAGGTAGGAAAGACTAAGATGGCAACCACCACAGCTTTTTGAGATTAACACTAAAAAATATGATAAAGCTATAGCTTCATCTTTGCCAGAGGAAACCAAGAAAGAAAACTTCTAGCTGGGACTGGGAGCTCAAAGCTCAGTGATAAACTGGACAAATGACCCCTGGCTATGTACAATTGCTGCCACTGTGGCTAGCTGCTACCAAAGCAAATGACAAAGTAAATCAGTTCAACTCCCTGTCCCTGCTCAGGAGGAACTTCCACCTCACCCCCTCTCAGGGAACCTCAGAAGCCTCAAATTCCCCTTCCTGCTCCCTCACATTCCCTTCAGAGGAAAAGACTGAGTATGGGTTTGAGAATAGGAGGGGCCCCTGCCCGGGACCTTCCTGAAAGATCCACAAACAGCCTGACCCCCAAGACCGACAGACACAGGGGCTCACTGCCCTGTTTGGCAACAGGAAAACCCTCAGAGTGTTAAAGGCAGAGAAAGGGAAGTAAAGCCCACAAACAGCTACTGGAACCACTGAACTTCAGAGATTAAACAAGTCACACAGGAGGCCCACGTTTCCCCTGGCCCCCAGCAGGGACCCACCATAACCCAGCCTCCCAAATGGTTGGGACAATGAACATCGAATTCCCTGGAGCTCCCCTTCTGAGTTTATAAAACCTGCCAGGCATCCTGAGAACAGGGAAACAGCAACGGGAAACCCAGAGCATTGTTCAGACTCTGGTGAGGATCCCCGACCCCAGTGGAGATGGAAGAAACAATCCTGTGTGTTATGCCCGGCTCTCATATATGCCAGCATACCACAGACCTGTGAGGCAGGAGAGGAATCTATGTTCTACTGTTATCCTTTTCCAAGTGCCTGGCACATAGTTGGCACTCCAAAATATTTGTTACCTAAATGACAGTGAATGACGGACATCTTTGGGGCCTGGTACCCTACACACTCATCATGGGCAGAGAAGAAAGTCTGTTCATTTATTCATTCAACAAATATTTATTCAGCGTCTCCTCCATGCCAGGCACTGTTCCAGACACAAGAGGAAGCAAAATAAGTCCCTGCCCTTGAAGTTTATGTGTTAGTGGGTACAAAGGTGAGAATCTGCATGCTCCTGAAAAAACTATGTAAGCCGCAGACATTCAATAATTATTTATTAAGTGCCTATACTATGTGTAAGTGATGTGTACCAGATGCTATGCCAGGCACACCTCGGATCTGGGACTCAGCACTGGTAAGATTATTTCATATTCAAGGCTGGGACCCTAAATCTGGATCCCGTGTCAGTCAGTTGTCAGAGGCCCCTGAGTAAGGGAAATGAGATTACCTCTTTGGTGCATCTATCTTCATCTGTCGGTGAGCAGAAGCCACTGTGTGAGTACCACGTGCATGCCCAAAACACCACACAAGACTGCAGGACAGAAAGAAAACCAACATCTTTAGCTGAGAGGTGCCAGGAGTCCAAAAAGCAGGTCTAATAAGTTATAATTAAACACCAGGGCTCAAAGAGTGCTCCCAAAGGTGAGCAATCTGTCTCCTCATCTGTCCCTCATACACAGAACCTAAGATGTAATTCAGAGCCTGAGTCAGTAAACATTTCCCAAGCCTGGAAGTAGTCTGCTCACTCCCAAGCAAGCTGACTTTACTGACTTTTCCAAGGTGGGGCAGAAGAAACTGACAAAGGAAGGATCTGGTGCCCAACACTCTCCCATGGGTGGCAGCTAATAAATGGAGACATCCTGAGTCATGCTTGATTCCTTGGAGTCACACCCCAATCACCAGCATGGTGAATTATGAAGGTGAGGAACCATATGCCAAGGGAGAAGACCCATATGTCTGAAACCTGATGCAAGGGGCCATTCTCTCCCTGCCAGGCTCAAGCCAAGTACCCAGCTCTCCTCTGACACCCTGGACTCCAGCTGCTGCAAGCAGCCTTTCCTCCTGGCTCCAACAGCAGAGAAAAATGCTCAGGGACATCAAACCATCTCAAGAAACAGCCATTGGGCAATCTGGGACAACATGGCACAGACAAGGGCATCAGGCACAGGGCTTCTGACATGATACAAGCAAGGGCCTGGCAGGACAGAAAATCCACAGAGATGCTGGATAGGAAGGAATAAGAGAATGTTTCTAGTGTAAACAATACTGAGCAAAAGGGCTGGCTCCTGGCATTTCCAGGCCCAACAGGGGCACTGGAGGAAGGCACTACAGTTCAGCTTCCCAGCCTGTAGGGATCACTCAGGGAGGTGGGCCTTGGTGACAAGATACAGCTGAAACCTTTAGAAGCAACAGCTCCAACTCCTGCAAGGAGCTGCACTGTCCCACGGCATGCCAGGATCTATAGGCCCTGAGAAGAGCTTGCACAACAGCCAGGGCAGCTGCATTCTGCCCAAAGCAGAGGCCTACTGACCTCCCAGGCCAGCACCCTACACTGGGTGTCTTCTTACCAGGCCCCAGGCAAAGGGTCGAAGGGACCACAGGTAGGGTTGGAAGGCTGAGGAGAGGCATGTCTTCCTCAGTGGGCTGAGACATATACAACAAAGCAGTGGTGAAGAGGCAAGGAGGAAGGCAGCCAAACAGCAGTCAGTTCATTAAACTAAGGAGTTGATAAGCTACATCATCTGCTGAATAGTGTCAGGGGCCTACCCGCCCATATCTTTGCAGAGGCTCTGCAAAAATTACTGAATGGGAAATCGGTAATTTTTTTTTTTTTTTTTTTTGGAGACAGAGTCCAGCTTTGTTGCCCAGGCTAGAGTGAGTGCTGTGGCATTAGCCTAGCTCACAACAACCTCAAACTCCTGGGCTCAAGCAATCCTACTGCCTCAGCCTCCTGAGTAGCTGGGATTACAGGCATGCATCACCACACCCGGCTAATTTTTCCTATATATATTAGTTGGCCAATTAATTTCCTTCTATTTATAGTAGAGACAGGTCTCGCTCTTGCTCAGGCTGGTTTTGAACTCCTGACCTCAAGGAATCCACCTGCCTCAGCCTCCCAGAGTGCTAGGATTACAGGTGTGAGCCACCACGCCCAGCCAGAAATTGGTAATTGATAAGCACAATTACCTGCTCAGAAAAGAACAGAGTGAACAAACTGCAAGAAGCTGGCCAGGCGAGTGGCTCACACTTGTAAGTAATCCTAGCACTCTGGGAGGCCGAGGCGGGCAGCTTGCTCGAGGTCAGTTCGAAACCAGCCTGAGCAACAGCGAGACCCTGTCTCTACTAGAAATGGAAAGAAATTAATTGGCCAACTAACATATATAGAAAAAATTACCTGGCATGGTGGCGCATGCCTGTAGTCCCAGCTACTTGGGAGGCTGAGGCAGGAGGATCACTGCAGCCTAGGAGTTTGAGGTTGCCAAGAGCTAGGCTGATGCCACGGCATTCACTCTAGCCTGGGCAACAAAGTGAGACTCTGTCTCAAAAAAAAAAAAAAAAAAAAGAAGCTATCCAGCCAGGACTGCTGTCCCCCAAGCTGCTTCACAAGCACTGGGCTTGACCTGTTCTCAAGCCCTCTCATCTGCTGCCTCAGCAGAGAGCACTACTAATTACTAACGGGCGAGCACAGACAGAGGCGTGGCAAACTGCTCAAAAGGGTCAGGTAGAGTCCTTCTTGGGAGCCAGAGACTGGATTAAAAACTGCCAAACACTCGTCGTCAACCTCTTTAAAATGATCCATTAAAACTCTGGAGGGATGCTTTTCACAGGAACAAGGGACCCTTCTGGTCCATTCTGCTCTGATCCCCCCCCCCAAATGCTATGTAGAGGAGACTGAGGGTCAGCGGAGCGGGAACTAGCTCAAAGCAGGCCATCTATGATCCTACTGCTTTCACGGAAAAGGGTCAGTGCACAGGAGGACTACAAAACTTTAAAGTCTGGTCGAGCTGGTTCAGCTGGCTCTCCAACACAGCTCCTGAAGGTTGCCAATTCTGTGTCCACTCTGGCTCAAAGACAGCACAATCCTCAAAAGAGGAGACCTAGAAACCTGGTGCCAGGTGAAACAATGGGCCCTCACTTCTAAACGTGAGAGTGGGTCATGCTTTCAGAATCCTCCAAGATCAGGTTGAGCAGAAACAGAGGATATGTTATTTCCTGAAGATTTCTCTAGGGAACTGATGCCAAATAAAGGAGCTGAAATTGAAGGATATGAAAAGAACTTTCTGCCTGGCAAGAAGGTTAAACACCCAGACATACAACCAAGAAGGTGGTGGGCTCTGTAGCCTCAGAGAAGATGAGGTACGTGACTAGAAGCAGACAACTTGAGTCCCTGACAAGGTCTAACTAACAACCTCACGATCTGCTCAGACAGTATCAACCTGATACCCCTACTATGCGTGGGCAAATGAAACAGAACCCTGGTGTCAGCCTCCCTTGAGGATCCCCAGGAAATTAAGCTTCTAAGGAAAAAGGAGGGAGAAGAGAGACTCCAAGAGAACCTGTTCAGTGACTGACATCAGAGGAACATTTAGTCTGTCCAAGACCTATGAGAGAACATCAGCAGCTGGTTCAAGTTACCAATAGTAAAGGGGGCAGATGCCTGCCAGCCACAGGGCTATCAGGCTGGCAATCTTTGTCAAAACTCAAATAGGAAAAAATGTTCTGGAGCCAGTAGAGGGAAACAGGTTAAAGACCACAGGCATTCTCTGGGGCATAGCTTCTGGAGACTTCTCTTAGCTCTTTGGGATGGGGCATAGGATGGAGGGTGGGAGTAAGGGTAGAGATAGGCTGGGGTAACATGGTTTACATGTGTTCCACACATCCACAGTGGGAAGACACAGAATCCTGTTTCCTGGAAGGGAAAAAGAGTTGGATGAAGCCTCCAGCTACCCCTGGCACACACCCAACTCAGAGCGGTCTCTCTCCAAGGGTTGGTGGAAGTCAACAGAACCATAAAGCGGAAGTATTAAAGCTGAGATTAGAAGAATGGCCTACAAATTGGTCATCATCTCTGATGCAACATCCAAGTGAATTCTCCCACACCGACATCCCTGTTATTTGCCAGACATTCAGCCCCCTAATTCAAGCGGGGTCTGAACACTCTCACTCCACCCATGGGAATTTCAGCTGCAGGTCAAGTGAAAGCATAGTACGGGGAGCTAGCGCTTCTCCCTGAAGCAGAGGCAAGGAACTGGGAGGGAATGGGATGTTGGTGACAGGAATTCAAGGGACAGGGCTGATATGAAGGAAATCAAAGAAGGGCAAAAGCAGGGCCTCTGGCGGGAGGCTTAAGTAGACAGGATGGCAGGTACCGGGTTGGAAAAAGCCTAGGAGCACACTGAGGAAGAGGATGAGGACCTGTAATACTAGGAGGGAACGCGCAACAGGAGGAGGAGGGGACAGGGCTGGGAAAACAGTGTAAAGACTGAGAGGGCAAGGGGGGAGTATGACGGCAGGAGACAAGGAAAACGAGGGGTCAGAGGAGAGGATCCCCAAGGAGACCGTAGGCAGGCAGGGCAATGGATGTGAGGACACCAGAAAGGTAAGAAGGCAGAGGTCAGAGGCAGGGAGAGGAGTGGGAGAGGACCCCGGGCCTGAGACGGGGCTCTCAGAAGTGGAAGGAGACGCAGCCACGAGGCCCAAAAGGGGCACAGGGTCGGGCGGAAGGAGGCCCGCGGTTCGGGCTCAGACGGCTGTGGGGGTCCCAGGGCGGGGGCCGCGGGCGGGGCGCCAGCAGGCGGCGGACCGGCGCGGGCCGGCCCGGGCCGGAGCGTCGGGAAGCCGGAGGCGCGCTCCGCGGACCCCCGCCGCTCCCGCCCCGCTCGCCGCCCGGCCTCGCGCCCCAGCCCGGTCGGCCGCCTCGGCCCGGGCCCGCCGCTCCCTCCGCTGCTTGCCTACCCGCTTCCTCCGACCCCGACTGACCTGACCCGGCCGCCTACCGCGCCGCCGCCGCCGTCCCGCAGGCTCCGCGGAACCCTCCGGCTCCTGCCAAAACTTTTCCCATTAATCCCCAGCTCCGCGGCAGCCGCGGCGTCACACGCTCCGCGGCCCGGCCCCGCCCCCGCCAGCGTGACGTCACCGCGCAGCTCGGCCCACCCTGCCCACGCCCCCTGCCGCCTGGCTGCGGCCAATCAGCGCTCGGCCTGGAGACGCACCCGGTTCTGCCCTCAGCCGCGCGCTCGCGGCCCGGGCTGCCGCCTGCAGTGCCCTCTGGCGCGGCGAGCGGGCGCAGCGGCCGGGCGCGGGGCTGGGGAGGAGCCGGGAGCGCAGGGCCAGTAAAACGAGTCCAGCAAGTGGCACGACAGGGAATTTAAGGTGGAAGGGAATTTAGATCATCTAGTACAACCTCCTCATCGTCCAGAGGAGAAACTTAGGCCCAGAGAATGCTGGAGCTCGGTCTCCAGACTCCAAATCCAGTGCTCAGTGCACTAGAGGAGACCATGCTGCCTGTAACTTTCACAAAAGGCTTTCCTTCCTGGAGAGGCTTCTGCAACTGGAAACTTACGGTCCCGGACTCTTACCTTTCTTCTCATGTGTTTATCTAATATGGTTGTCCATCTAAATGGGGAGTATCCTCCCTATTGTAGAAAGTTTTGTTCTTAACCCAGGTGTTTAGGACCTGGAAGGGACCTGTTATCCCAACTTGTCCCTCAAGATATACTGTAAAATAGTACCTAGCAGATGGGATGCAGTCTGGTGGAAGAACTTGACTTTCATCAGGAGATGAACTAAACTTGACCCTCAGGTTTATGACCAATGGGTAACTCTCTCCTCTCCACCGTCATTAAAGTAAATATTACCCCTCCCTTCTGTCATGCACTCAGGCCACACCCTCAGCTGTCTGGATGGTGGAACTATGAAAGATTTTTTTTCTTCTTTCTACTTCTCTTTTTTTTTTACTACGTTTTGAAATGAATATTCATTGCTTTTGTAATTTAGATGTCAACCTCCTTGACCTTTGAGACTGAAGTAAAAATGGACAGTGGAAGTCAAAGCCCCACCACCCCCCTAAGATTTTTGCAAATTTCTGGGGACTTATATCTCCTAAATATCTCTGCTTCTGGGTTTCTGCTTTTGCCAGGCAGTTGCTGTGCCACAGTTCAGATATCTGGAGATGAAAGTCAGCCCTTCCTGAGGACTGCCTCCACTTCCTCCCACACAAAACATTCATGAGTACAGAAGAGGTTAGGATGCTCTGGGCTCTGGGCCCTGGGGCAGGGTCACATGGTACCTAGCAAACAGTTCAAACTCACACATCCAAAGTTCTTCTTTTTTTTTTTTGAGACAGATTCTCGCTCTGTTGCTCAGGCTAGAGTGCCGTGGCATCTGCCTAGCTTGCAGCAACCTCAAACTCCTGGGCTCAAGTGATCCTCTTGCCTCAGACTCCCGGGTAGCTGGGACTACAGGCATGCGCCACCATGCCCGGCTAATTTTTCTATGTATTTTTAGTTGTCCCGCTAATTTCTTTCTATTTTCAGTAGAGACGGAATCTCAGTCTTGCTCAGGCTGGTCTCAAACTCCTGACCTCCAGAAATCCTCCCACCTCGGCCTTCCAGAGTGCTAGGATTACAGGCGTGAGCCAAACAGCCCAAAGTTATTTAAAATCCTTTCTGCACCCCGCACTGGGGTTTTCTAACTGGCCCTTCATCCTCAGGGCCTGGCCTCCTCCCAATCACTAACTTTCCTCCGCTCTCCTTGCTGTCCCACAATTCTCTCTCTGTCCCACCCTCTCTGGAGAAGATATAAATTCTCTGACTTTGTAGGCAGAAAGATATCTTTTTTTTTTTTTTTGAGACAGAGTCTCACTTGTTGCCCAGGCTATAGTGAGTGCCGTGGCGTCAGCCTGGCTCACAGCAACCTCAATCTCCTGGGTTCAGTGATCCTACTGCCTCAGCCTCCCAAGTAGCTGGGACTACAGGTATGCGCCACCATGCCCGGCTAATTTTTTGTATATATATATTTTTTTAGTTTGTCAATTAATTTCTTTCTATTATTGGTAGAGACGGGGTCTCGCTCAGGCTGGTTTCAAACTCCTGACCTTGAGCAATCCACCCGCCTCAGCCTCCCAAAGTGCTAGGATTACAGGTGTGAGCCACCGCGCCCGGCCTCAGAAAGATATCTTAACCATATCTTTTCACTGCTTTGGTTCTTGGCAACAGGCATAGTTTGAAGATCTCACTTTCCACCCCTAACAGGTTTATTTTCCCTAATGAAGACAGTTCCCAGCCAAAAAGAAACTCTGGGAGTGCTGTTAAGGTATTACATTCTTCTCCTCATTTCGTTTTTATATCAGGAATATATAAAATTTAATCCCAGCCTTTGGGAGACTGAGGTAGGAGGATTGCTTGAGGCCAGAGGATCACTTGAGGCCAGGAGTTCAAGACCAGCCTGGGCAACATAGCGAAACCCCATCTCTTTAAATAAAATTAAAGAAACACTCATTCTATTTTATAGAATAAAGTGTTGCCTAGTTCAAGAAAAGAAAAAAGAAAAGAAAAGAAGAAAAGAAAAGAAAAATTACCCAGGCATAGAGGCACACGCCTGTAGTCCCAGCTACTCCAGAGACTGAGACAGGAGGGTCCATTGAGCCCAGGAGTCTGGAGTTACAGTGAGCTATGATTGTGCCGCTGCACTGCAGCCCAGGCAACAGAGTAAGACCCTGTCTCTTAAATAAATAAATAAAATTTAATATAACATATTTAATAAGTATCTATATATTTATTATTTAGACCCCATAACTCTACTTTGGGTAATCTGTCTTGAGGAAATAACCTTAAATACAGAAAAGGCTTTAGACACAAAAATGTTCATTGCAATATTATGTGAAACAACAAAAATAACAAAACAACAAAAAACTGAAGATGCCTTAGTTGTCCAACAACAGAGAAATGTTTAGGTAAATTATGCTGTATACCTCTGGGAATATTATACAGCCATTGAAAATGATGCCTAAAAAGAGTTGGTAAGAAAGTGGAAAAATGTTATGATCTGATATTAAGTGGAAAAAAGAAGATGATGGCATGTATAGAGTGAAATCACACTGTTTGGAAAACTAAAAATTAGTGTAGGAAAAAAACTGGAAGGAAACACACTAAAATGATATGAGCAATTGTCTTTAGATTATGATTCTGTGAGTTATTGTCTTTCTATATTTTTATTCTGAACATGGGTTGTTGTTTTTTTTTTTTTTTTTTTTGAGACAGAGTCTCACTTTGTTGCCCAGGCTAGAGTGAGTGCCGTGGCATCAGCCTAGCTCACAGCAACCTCAACTCCTGGGCTCAAGCGATCCTTCTGTCTCAGCCTCCAAGTAGCTGGACTACAGCATGCGCCATCATGCCGGCTAATTTTTTTCTATATATATTAGTTGGCCAATTAGTTTCTTTCTATTTATAGTAGAGACAGGGTCTCGCTCTTGCTCAGGCTGGTTCCGAACTCCCGACCTCAAGCAATCCGCCCGCCTCGGCCTCCCAGAGAGCTAGGATTACAGGCGTGAGCCACCGTGCCCGGCCTGAACATGGGTTTTTTTTTTCCATAATGGAAATGAGATTTGTTTTTTAAGAGAAAAAAATTAAAAATCTTCCTTATATTGAGCAGAAATTTATATTCCCTGGTGCTCTTACCCCTTGGAGGTAAACTAAGTCGAATTGTTTTCCATAAGAACTCTTCTGATGTTTGACCCATTCCCCTATATATTCCTTTTTCAAGCTACAGCATCCTTAGTTCCTCTTATAAAATAATTATGCCTCCCTTTACCACAAAGATTGCTAGCCTCAGAATGTGCCATTTTATGTATATCCATCCTCTCAAGACTTCCCTTGTATCAACCTAAATAAACAGAGAGAGGCTCTATAAAAGAAAAGCTATTTATTTGAGAATAGACAGATTGCAATGTGAATGCACATGCCATAGTAACTATGTATGTATTCAGGGAGGGAAAGGAAGACAGGTTTTTAAAGGAAAAATGAGGAGGATTATGTAATTGTTTTGGAGTAATTACCCTTGGATACAAAGAGCAATAACAAGGGTGATGCTAATCTGAAGCTGGACAGGCAGTTGCTGGGCAGATGTCCTCGCACAAGTATTTTTTGTGTGTGTAAGGTGATGGCGTTTGTGCAAGGTTACAGTTTTAGTATAATATTTTTTGTGATCAAGTACACATGATGAGAATACTCTCTCCATGGCCTTCTCTGTCTCTACTTGTTGGTTTTCTTAACATCAATGACTCCCATTTTGATTCTGACAACTTTCACACTTGTTTTTGGCCATCCAACTTCTGAATCCTCTCCCTATTTGGGAAGTCTCTCACTTTAGACTCTTCCTCCACTTTATTTTTTTATTTTTATTTTTTTGAGACAGAGTCTCACTTTGTTGCCCAGGCTAGAGTGAGTGCCATCGGTCAGCCCAGCTCACAGCAACCTCAAACTCCTGGGCTCAGCCATCCTCCTGCCTCAGCCTCCGAGTAGCTGGGACTATGGGCACATGCTGCTATGCCCAGCTAATTTTTTCTATATATTTTTAGTTGGCCAATTAATTTCTTTCTATTTTTAGTAGAGACAGGGTCTCACTCTTGCTCAGACTGGTTTCTAACTCCTGACCTTGAGTGATCCTCCTGCCTCGGCCTCCCAGAGTGCTAGGATTACAGGCATGAGCCACTGCACCTGGCCTCTTCCTCCACTTTAGAAGCTGAAAATGGCCAGGCATGGTGGCTCACTCCTGTAATCCTAGCACTCTGGGAAGCTGAGGCAGGAGGATCGTTTGAGCTCAGGAGTTCAAGACCAGCCTGAGCCAGAACCAGACTCCATCTCTACTAAAAAAATAGAAAGAAATTAGCTGGACAAGTAAAAAAAAATATATATATATATGAAAAAAATGAGCCGGGCATGGTGGTGCATGCCTGTAGTCCCAGCTACTCGGGAGGCTGAGGCAGGAGGATCACTTGAGCCCAGGAGTTGAGGTTGCTGTGAGCTAGGCTGAAGCCATGACACTCTAGCCCGGGCAACAGAGTGAGACTCTGTCTCAAAAAAAAAAAAAAAAAAAAAAGTAGAAGCTGAA